CCTAACCCTAAACCTAACCCTAAACCTAACCCTTACCCTAACCCTAACCCTAACCCTAACCCTAACCCTAACCCTAAACCTAACCCTAAACCTAACCCTAAACCTAACCCTTAACCTAACCCTAACCCTAACCCTTACCTTTACGTGAATTGGCTTGCTTTAAAATCGCTTTTTAAAATCTCCGCGGTCGTATTTGTTGGGCTGCTGATGACGTCAGGTACGCGCTTTAATCGGGCGCGCTTTAGTGGACCGCGGTTTTGTCGTGCCACGACAATACTTAGCAAGAATGCAGGAATGAACTAATGGTCAACTGCAAACTCCACTCCCTTTTTGCTCCTCTCTTATTTCCTCTGGGAGGGGCCATTCACCATCCACCTGTGGCCTCACTCCCAAGTCGACCCCTGTTCTTTAGCTGTTCCTTTCGTCTGGCAGCTCTGCGTATGCGCACACTGGGAACAGGCTCCAGCTGTTCCTCTGCCTCACTGACGTCTGACTCCGAAGGCAGCTGATAACTGCCATACGGCCCTGGCCCCCTCTCTGCCTCCGACACAGAGCCCTCCTCAGAGCCTTCCCCAGACTCCAGGACTGGCCCATGTTCATCCCCAACCTCCTCCCTGTCCAAATCCCGCTGACCACTGGGAAGGGCACAACAGAAGCTTTGTTCCCAGTACTTTTAGTTTGATTGTGGTTCTATACAATTTAGAGAAGACGTTATCAATTTATGAATATAATTGTGGATAATAATTGGAAATAATTCTTTGCTTACAGGACATTAAGAGCCATTTATGGAAAATTTACTGCACCTCTTAATCTATTTAGGACAGGCTCAGAGCAAAATATGTTTTTTTCTAAATTTGCCTCCCTGCAAAGCCTATTCCAGGCTCCCATCTGTTTATAACACAACTTGTTACGTGGAATATATGCTGTTTATAACTGCAGGCATTTTTTTAAAAAAATTAAGTCGTACTGAATTTAAGAGTCAGTTAGCACCCTTTATTAAAACTCAGGAAAAATTACAGAGTAATTACAGAGTAAACAGTCCCTTGTTCCATAACCACATTTTGTTAATCTTTCATCTTTATTCGATACTAGTGCTGATAACCTGGCATTGCCTGGGAATTTATTTATAGGGGGAAAATGTCCACAACAAATGTAATTTCTAATGTTGGATTTTCCCCTTTACCAGAGGGAGCCCCCTTGTGGAGTACTGTGATGCCGTTACCATGGAAACTCCACTGCGCTGTACAGTAGAAGCCATTTTACGGCAGTACAGTTTGGTTGAAATTTCCCGAGATGTTCTAGAGTTATAGCCTCCAGTCCCCTAATCCTCTTTGTTGCTCTTCTCTGCACTCTTTCTAGAGTCTCCAAATCTTTTCTACATCGTGGCAACCAAAACTGAATG